TAAATGAATATATGCCATATTCATCTTTGTGAGTCTGGGATCTCTCATTCGAGATGATTTTCCTCTAGTTTCATCCTTTAGCCTGAACATTCCATGATGTCATTTTTAACAGCTGAGTAACAATTTTTAACAGCTGAGTAAAGAATTGTCTCGCATTTCTTTTATCCTTTCTTCTGTTGAGGGACATCTAGGTTGTTTCCGATTTTTGACCATTTATGAATGAAGCAGAACATTCAAGACCCATTTGGGGTACAGAATAAGTTCAAGGCCAGTCTCGGCAACTTAACTTACTCTCTCTCAAAATAAAAAGTAAGGAGAGTTCTAAGGACTATAACTCAGTGATAGAGACCTTGTATATGGCACTTGGGGCCCTATTCAATCGCAGAAAAAATATACAAAATAAATAATTAAAACAAACAAAGAATCTATTGTAGCTGTAGAAGTAGTGAGGTTTGCCATTGCATAGATGGGAAGAACTCAAGTAAGACCTGGGACAGTAGACAGAAGGAAGGACTGTTCTAGAAAGAATAGAGGAGGTTCTTAGAGGGCTCCATAGAAGGAGGATGGGAAACTGTCTCCCAGGAAGAAGAATGAAAAGGAAGGGGAATGTTGATAACAAGGCAGAGGTACCTCAAAGACCCACCTCCTCCTGCATCTGTACTGTAGGCTGCTCTTGGTCTCAGGCCACGGAGGACATTTGTATCTTAACTCCACATCCTTTCTCTATGGTGTGTCTAAGGCCAAATGGAGGTGCTACATCTCCTGATACAATATGGAGCCAGACCCTGCTTGGTCACTGACGTGGGCTGGACCGCAGCTCACTTTGCGGCTGAGTCCGGCCATCTGAATGTCCTCAAGACTCTCCATGCACTGCCCGCTGCCATTGATGCTGCTGACTTCTTCGGAGACACACCCAAGAGGATCGCACAGATCTATGGGCAGAAAGCCTGTGTGGACTTCCTGGAGAGGTGAGTACTGTTTCCCAGCTGTAGACAGGAGCCTGTGATCTGAGCTTTCGTCTTTTGTTCTTTTAAAAAGAATATGATGATGGGATGTCCCGGGCAGCTCGCGGAGTCCAGCAAGGATGGCTGTGAGACCCTGCAATGCCATGTGGCCGGGGGAGTCAGGCGGGCGGTTACGGCGGATAAAAGGCTCATAGGACATAGTATTATTTAAAGAAGAGGGAGACATTTAGTGCTTAAAAAAGAGAAAACAGAGAGAAAACAAAGACACATGTACACACACACACACACACACACACACACACACACAGGCACCAGAGAGAGAGAGAAGATGGCTGCGGGGGGAGGTCCAAAAGTGGCTGGGGTGGGCGTGGTTCTTAAAGTGGCAGCAGAAGACTAACATTCCCGGATCCTTTTTATAATAAAAAGTAGAAGGTTAGACACTACAGGTTGAAGGAATTGGGGCGGCGAATTCTCAAGACTGCTTCCAGCTGATTTGTGGGTGTCGTCTTTGGGGGGCTGTGGGGGTGAGGGAGATCCGAGAGAAGCTGGGTGTTGGTCACATTCTGGCATAGTTGGTCTCTGATCCCGACAGGACAGGTGTCTGTTGCATGGAAATGTCCCTTGTACCTGGTTAGGGTGTTGGCAGAACAGATAACAAAGTTAAATTGAGAAAAAATTTTAGGACCAGGGAATTGAGAGGTTTGTATCTGACCTGTTTACGGTGGGTTTTTTAATTTGGCTCCCTGGAACTTCTAAGAAAAACAGAAGTTTTAGACATATACATTGTATTAAGAACTCCTTGGGTTTGTAAAAACAGAAATTATAATAAAAAGTATTTTTACTTGGTGAGACAACCTGGCAAAACCTCTCAGCTATCAGACTGTCAGAGATTTTTGAGAAGGATAAGATTTTATTTGAGTTACTGATTAAAAAATGACAGAGAACTTACTTGGTTGGCATCTAGAGCTACTCTTTGGTCCTCCCTGGTCGCTGAAGGTTGCATTTGACCTTTGTTGTTTAATATAGAGCCTGCCAGGCTTTTGAAGACTCTGTGGACTAAGAAATCTTTAGGAAGACAGGCCTACCTTGACCCTGGGCAGCTAGGCTATCGATTCCAGTGATCCTGTCCACGTTTGGAGGTCTCCAGTTTAGGGGATAGGCAGTTTTTGCCCAATGGTCAGCGCTAGGCAGTCGAAGCAAACTGCAGATGGACGTTGGTCTTCTGTCTTCTCGGAGGAAACAGTGTGCTTGCTAGGAGCCAACCTGTCTCTTTTTGTTATGAAAAGTTTTTTTAAACATTTAAATATCGCATTCCCCAGATCTCTGAGCAATTGAGGGCTGATTATTAGGTATAGCTGCAGTATAGAATCTGTCTGGAAGATTGGGTTTGAGTTTGACTGTATTGACTCTTAATAGGTAAGATCCACATTTGTAAAAAGACAGACAGAAAGAAAAAAAAAACTAACATTAAGATTAGTGACAGAACTGACAATGGTAGAAAACATCTTAAAAGTACATACCAGTTTATGATTTTGTAGTCTGAAACGAGATGAAATGAACAATTATTATACACAGAGAACAGGAATTAGGCAAAGTGTATGTTTCTGATGGGCCCTATCAGAAAGCACGTCACTATGCAAAACACCTGTAATCACAGCTAAGGAGAGGATTTCAGTGAACACTGAGGAGGGGGAGGGGAAAGCGGGACATACATAACAGTGGGAGGGCCTGGTCGCGTGATCTGGCTCTCAGTGAATCTAGTGATAAAGTCACCTGACCCCAATGAACATGGCGGCGGTCACATGTTGTGGCTTGAATGAAAAGACCGTGGGAATTTTAAAAGCCGGGGGCTGCCTGGTTGTTATCCAGAGTCTGAATCGTGAAAAATCCATATAAACAGACAATTTAAGGCATATTTAGGCTGGTACGACTTGCTTTCCCAGGTCAAGACCGTGAAAAACCCGCAAAAAACCGTGGCATCTCGAGCCTATGGGGAACAGCTCCCTGTTTAGGTGAGATGCAAATCGAGTATCCAAAACCATGTGCCCAGGCGTCCGAGTGCCCATGTGGGATGCTAAAGGCCGAACCGGATCAGCCAATTATGTCCACGAGAAAGGTTGGAAGGAAGAAAAGACTGAAATAAAGAGGAAGAAGCCTGGGAACCCCGGGTCCCCAGGTGGGGGAATGCACGGGCTTAACAGAGGACATAAGCCGTAATGGATGCCAGCGACGGGGCGGAGAAGTAACCCCTGAGCCCAGAAACACCGGGAGGACCGGTCAATCCCGGGTTAAAAAGGCTCAGATAAGCTGGCTGGAGTGAGGAAACTTACGATTAGAAGCCGGTGTTGTTTGTAGGAATGAGTTCAGGCAGTTGGTGGTGTTGAGAAGGCCCTCAGTTCGATTCAATCCCGGAAGTTGTCAGAGTCCCGGACGAAAGGTGAAGCTGGAACTCTGGCCTTTGGTGGGTGAATCTCTCAAGTCCACGGCACCAAATTTTGTTCTTTTAAAAAGAATATGATGATGGGATGTCCTGGGCGACTTGCGGAGTCCGGCAAGGATGGCTGTGAGACCCTGCAACGCCATGCGGCCGGGGGAGTCAGGCAGGCGGTTACGGCGGATAAAAGGCTCATAGGACACAGTATTATTTAAAGAAGAGGGAGACATTTATTGCTTAAAGAAGAGAAAACAGAGAGAAAACAAAGACACACGTACACACACACACACAGGCACCAGAGAGAGAGAGAAGATGGCTGCGGGGGGGAGGTCCAAAAGTGGCTGGCGTGGGGGTGGTTCTTAAAGTGGCAGCAGAAGACTAACATCGTCAATTGGTCAATTTCAGGTAAATGAAAACGAAACAAAGAGATCTAACTCAGGGGTTCTCAACCTTCCTAATACTTTGACCCTTTAATACAGTTCCTCATGTTGCGGTGACCCCCAACTATAAAATTCTTTCACTATTACTTCATAACTATAACTTTGCAACTATTATGAACTGTAGTATAAATATCTAATATGCAGGATGCATGACCCTGAAAGAGTCATGATGGACAGCTTGAGAATCTCTGAACCAATTGACCAGTATCATAATTTTTTAGAGGATGATATACTTTTATGTGAATGAGTGTTTTACCTGGGTGTATGTATGTATACTGTGTGAAGTCAAAAGGGGGTGCCAGATCCCCTGGAACTGGAGCTATCAACTGCTATAAGCAGCCATATGGGCTAGAGGCATTGATTGCTTTTAACAGGATGAGCCATCTTTCTAGTGCCTATAGTAAGTTTCAAAATCGATTTTTTTTGATCATTTTTGCAAGAATGACAACTTGAAAGTGAAAAGTACATTGACTTGTTTTTTTTGCTTTAGGTCATATAAAAATTATCTCTAATAAGGACTGGACGTTAAGTCTGGGACACGGCCTAAGCTTCATGGTCACTCTCAGGCGTTTGTAAGGTACTCCAGCTAGCTGCGTGATTCTGTAGAGGTCAACCAGCCTCCTGACCCTCAGTTTCTTCATACTGAAAGCGCAGCAGGGGCTGTGGAGATGGTTCAGGTAGGGAGGTGCTTACCACACAAACAAGAGGACCTGAGATCGGATCATCAGGACCCAGGTAAAACTAGTCAAGGTGGCCTCATCGGTAGCTCCAGTGTGAGCATTCAGAGACCAAAGGATCCCAGGACAGCCAATCTAAGCAGAACTGCAATTTGCAAATGCAGTGAGACGTCCTATATCAAAACCCAGAGAGACGATTCACTTCATTGGCCTCCTGCCTCTATATGCACATACACACATAAGCACACAAACACACGCAGATATCACACACACACACACATATACACACACCATGAGTCAAATGAATTTAGACTTCTGTTTTTAACCCCTGTCTCCATTCATGTATGCCTCCCCTGGCATGACTAGACCTTGTCAAACATTTGTTCATTTATTTATTAAGTTAAGCAGTTGAATATAATTAACTGCTAATTCTGTTCTCTGCAGTTATAGCCTTGAGAGGAATGGAAATGAGATGTATGGATCTATAATTTGGGTCAAGTGATTCATACAAGAAGACGTTGGATAGCCTGGTCTGACCGTGGTTGCACGGGAAGGAGATGGGAGGGACAGAAGCCCTAGAAGTAATGCCAGTTTATGGTGGAGAGCAGTGGCAGTGGGCTGTCTCCAGTGAGCTTCAAATGCAGTTATCATCGAAATGTTAAATTAGCACAGGATGGTGGCTTAGGCCTACAGTGCCAGCTGTTCAAGAGGCTCAGCCATGGAAATTGCCAATGTGGGGTCTGCCTGAGCTACAGAGAGTTCAAGGTCAGTCTGAACAAATTAGTGAGACTGTCTCAAAAGGAAAAATAAATTAGGAGCTGAAGGATGTAGCTTCCGAGAGGAAAGCTCGCTCAGCCCATGTGAAGCCCTGGGTTCAGTCCCCGACACTGCCATCCCCCCCAAAGTTAAACTAATAAAACTGTTGCCGGGGATGAGATTGGAAATCCATAGAAATTCCTCAAGAGACCCTGCCTTAGACATTGTGTCACTATTTAAAAATATCACAAGTCACAAATGAGGAGCTGGAAAGAGCAAGCTGACGAGAGTCCTGCACAGACTCTTCTCCCCAGTTCTACGCATCCTCCAGGTGTCTCCTCTAGGTGCTCGGGACCTCTGTGTTCCATGGCCCTGAGCACCAGGAGCCACGCTTCGCTGAGTTTCCTGCAATTCTAATGCCCACTGTGTGACGCGGCTCCCTCCATCTTATTACTCCTCGGGTCCTCACATAGGACCTGAAACCTCTTGACATTCAACATTTTTCTTTCCCAACCTACCTCCTGTCTGCAGGGCTCGCTAATTTTCCTGCCATCTGGATGCCATGGTATGGCATTCCACACCTTCCTTGCCTCTACTCATGACTTTTAGACCCTTTGCTCTCTGTACCTTATGACCTAGCATCCCCAGCCATTCATGGATCCCTTGATTAAACCGGGTTTCAGCACCAGATCTACAAAGTGAGGACATGACCACTCCAAGGTATGGATGGAGAGAGGTTTTTATTGTAGATCTGAGGGAGAGTATAGCCAGAGGCATTCCAGTGCAAAGGAGTAGACTAAACATGGCCAGGAGAGTGGACTGGGCCATGAGAGGAAAGTGAGAGAAGAGGAGAAGGGAGAGAAACAGTAAAGAGGAGAGAGGTTCAAGAGGACCAAGAGCCAGGAGTGAGCCAAGAGAGAACACGGCTGGAATCGCAGGTTATATAGGAATGAGAAACGAAGTGAAAGGGTGTCCATGAGCTGGAGAAGTTTAGGGTAGGGGTGGGGTGAGAAGGGCTGAGAAGCTTCAGAATACCAGCACACACTTTGTAACAGTATTTGTAATGTTGAGAGAACCTGGAGGCCTTGCTCTTTGGGATGCTAACCACAGTTAGCCATTTGTCCCAGTTTGATTTTTTCCTTTGTTCATTTTTGTTTGTTTGTTTTGGTTTTCTTTTGTGGGGCTGCCATTTCTGCACTCTCTACTCCTGGGCTTTGACTCTCTACTTCTAGGCTTTTCATAAATATCCAGAAACAAGTAGATGAGCGTTGGCAGGGAACTAGAGACATCTACTTCTATCTAAGCCAACCTCAGCTGTCTCTGAAACGTCTGGAGGGAGCACGCTTTTTAACAACTCCCCATCCTTGTACTTCCAGGTCTTACAAATCCCCACACCAGCTCACTCTGGCGTTCCCATCTCTCTGTGTCATGGTGTTCCTCCAGCTAGAGCAGTGGTTCTTAACCTTCCTAATGCTGTGGCCTTTAAATGTTGCTCCTCATGTTGTGGTGACCCAACTGTAAGATTATTTTTGTTGCTACTTCATAACTGTAATTTTGCTACGTTTTAAATTATATATAAACATCTTAGGTCTTAGGCCACCCCTGTGAAAGAGTTGTTCGACCCCTAAAGGGGACATAACCCACAGATTGAGAACCACTGATCTAGAATCTTCACACCTTCTATAAGAAAGCCATCCCTGTGTTATTCTTTGCTTAGTCTTCACTTCCTCCTGTATTGTTAGTTGTTTCTACCCCTCCCCCACTCCTTTCTGCTCTTAAGGCCTTCTTTTTTTTTATTAAGATCTATTTTTTATTAGTTTTTCTTTTTTTATTTACTTATTAATTTATTTATAAAAATTTCCACTTCCTCCCCTCCTCCCAGTACCCTCCCACTCCCCCCACTCCCTCTCCTCCTTGGGACTGAACAAGCAAGTGATCAAACTGGATTCTCTGAATGTGGCTGACATGGGGGCTGACTGAGAAGCCATTGATAATGGCACTGGGTCTTGTTTCATCTGCATGTACTGGCTTTTTGGGATCCTAGTCTGTTTGGATGCTCACCTTCCTAGACCTGGAGGGAGGGGGGAGGAACTTGAACTTCCCACAGGGCAGGAATCCCTGACTGCTCATAAGACCTTCTTAAACAAATGAACAGAGCTAGAGGACCCTCCCACTGCTTTTGTTCTCCCCTAGGGCCCTGAACTACTCCGGTGTTCATCTATGGAACCGATCCTCCTTCCTCATCTCTCGCTCCCCCTTTGGAGATCTTCCCCATCTTTGTATGGATACGTTTCTCATACGAGTAACCATAAAGGTCCTGTTGCTAACACAATGTTCCCTTCTCCATTCGTAATCTTTCATGTACTTCCCTTCCTCTTCTTCCCTCCCTCTCTCCCTCCTTCCCTCCCTTCCTCCCTTCCATCTTGTCACAGCCTCCCTCAGCTTGGTGTCCCTTTCCCAGGAGCTAGTATTACAGCCAGGCACCATCATACCCAGGTTCTCAGTATTTATCCTTATGTGCCTTTCAAATGCTAGGATTCCCCAGAGTCTTGTCCTTGACTTTCTATGGTTTTTTTTTTTCTGAGCAATCTTAGCCCCTCCTTAGTGACCAGATGCACATGACATCTGGTCCAGCATAATGAAAATGCAGTGGGCACTGCTGTGGACATTAGGCAGGCAATGCTGAGCGGACAAAAATGTCAGCTGCATTATTTGTGAATCCCATCTTCTTATCATTTCCCACCAGAAACTTACTCCCCTTCCGATGTTAGAGGAGTTAGAGGGAAGAATTCAGGATGTAGGTATAATTAATCTGGTCCTGCAAATACAGCGAAGCCCTGGCAGAGGGAGGAGAGAAAACCTGCTGGTCTGGGTGCAGCTACCATGTTGGAAATGTGCATAGGTAGAATGTGCATGAGAAGAAGGGGAGGGAGTGTGGAGGGAGAAGTATCCTGGCTGACTGGGTGATCACAGCCAGGACTTGTAGGCTAAAGCGGGCAGGCAGAGGACCATAGTTGGACAAGAAGCCAATGCTGAACTCATTGTGGGATGTATGAACTGAAACACATGGGCTCCAAAGTTGCTCACACAATAGAGGATGTGGCAGTGAGTATCCTGTAGTGGGATTAGAGGTTTAGTGTGTTATTCCTTTGGGACACTTTAAGAAGTAACCACGCCCACCCCAGCCACTTCTGACCTCCCCCCACCGCCATCTTGTGTGTGTGCATATGCGTGTGTGTGTGTGTTTTTGTTTCGTGTCGTGTGTACGTGTGTCTTTGTTCTCTCTATGTTTGTCTATGTCTCCCTTTCTTTAAGTAATAAATGTCTAGCTTTATGTATAGCCTTATGTCCATTTACTCTGCCGTCCACCGCATCCAGCCGCCTGACTCTGCCGCTCGCCCGGGGACCCTACACTGCTTTGGCGGCCGCAGCCTCTCCCTGGCTCGCATGCCACCCGGGGCATCCCATCATCATATTATTTTAAAAAAGAACAATATAGTGGGATTAGACAAGACCACTGGGTTCCTTCACAGTTCACATTGTGAGGAGGTGCGCTCTTAGGCTATGTTTCCTTAATTTACCTAGACATACAGTCTATACAATTAGTATTTTTCTTCTTGCACTTCCAATTTACTTGATTGATTGATTGATTGATTGATTGATTGAGACAGGGTTAACTCTGAAGCCCAGACTGGAACTCATAGAGGCTGACCTTGAACCTGCAGCAATCCTGTTGAATCATTCTCTTGGGTGCTGGAATTGCACATGCGCCAAGTTACACTTTAAAATTTCAAACAATGAGCATGTGTGTTGCTTTTATAGTCGGGAAAATAGAATTAAAAGGAACAGCTTTCCCGTGTCATGAAGACTGTTCTGGAAATGTGGGCACTTTAACAGTGAGCAGCCCCTCCTTCTAGCTGTCTTTGAGTCAGAGATTTACCACACTAGGCCCGTACCAACCTTTTCCATCTTCAGGTAGTTCCTCTGGGGCCTGAGACTTGACCTTTAGAAGGTTTAGAATGTAGAGTGTGCACTTGGACATATGTGAACTTGGCCTATCTTCCATCTCAATTAGACAATGAATGACCTGCTCTATGTGTAGCACTCAGGAAGAAGGGTCAGTGCCAACGCTGGCCAGGTTCCTTCTCCCACACTCACAGGCTGTTCTTTTTGTAGGGCAGAACCAGAATGCCGGGACTACCGCCAGAGAGGGCTGTTGCTTGATGAACAGGACCCAGATTGGGACCTCAAGAAAAGGGAGCTAGAGCTGTCTCTTCCTGCCCCGGATCCAAACACCAACAAAAAGAATAAGAGAATCCGAGGCTCCACCAGGCTCAGCCATTCCAAGGCCTGGAGGTTATGAGAAGAGAAGCCTCAGGCAGACCTAGGACCCAGCACAGAGCTAGAGGGGTTGCTAGGCTTCTTCGGCTTCCTCGTCTACATGGGATTTGACTCAGTCACCCTTACCCAGGCTTCTACAGAACATCACAGCAAACCATTCAGTTGGAAAGTCTTTCTGCGGTGTTCTATCAGAGCCAATGTCTCTGTGCCAAAACCTGAAAGCATGAAGCTAAACCCAGAAGTTTGACCCTGAGTGGACAGAGCAGCCTACAGCCAACAGCTGCTTGCATTTTGTTTTTAGTGACTTGGAGTGTCAGCATGCCCCGCCCCTCACCTACCAACACATCCCACATAGTTACAGAATGTTCAAGATCAAAGAAAGAGCTCTTCCAATGGGATTGATTAGTCTGGGGCAGAAAAAAAAAGTGAAATAAAAAGCAAAACAAAACTCTTAAATGACGATTCAATCCATGAATAATAAAATTTGTTTTGGACACAAAGACTAAGCAAAAGCAAATGCTGAAGCTTTTTTCTATTTCTTTTTTGTGGGAGCCCACAGTCCCAGCATTGACAAATTTCCCTATCATCCGACCCACCTAGGAGCAATGGTATGTGCGATGTACCCACTCAGTGTGAGACAACTGGAAAGCCTGGTATGAAGGGACTCTGCCCCACCTAACCGAGCGTTGGCAGAAAATGGCGAAACATGGCTTTGTTGGTCTAGTTTTTCAGTTGTAGATTTTACAAAAGTTAGACCAGATATTTCCAAGGAAAGTATAGCATCTATCCAAGTTTTGAAGACAGTACAAGAAAAAGTTAATTGCCTTGTTATCAATTTTTAATATTGATTGCTGAAATATGTCGGATGTTTTAATGCTAAGTAAAGATACTATTAAAATTAACTTTACTATCTACTTTTTATTTTTACCTGTTTTTAAGTATGAGATTATATGGTGTGTTGCTAGCTGTTGGGTTTCAGCTAAAGGATCTTTGTGAGTAGTGCTAAGAGGACTCAGTGCCCTTCTCCCCAGAGAGCGATGTGTTACCAGACCAAGCAAGAGAATTGTCTTTATAATGATTCTTTACTAACAACTTCAATATCCAGTGCATCAATGGGGTTTACAATCTTAACACACAAGGGAGGACTGTGTTGGGCAATACACAAACAATTCAATATCACAATTATTAATCTTACTAATCCTAATACATAAAACCAATTTCTAACTTCCATTTGACTTATCAGTTACCTATTGAAGGACCCCTCGTTTTAACCACAGCTATACCGTTTTGCAAAGGTTCACAGATAACTAGCTCAGGACCTCCGGAATGCTGAGCAAATAACAGGCTTAATTAAGGGCCTCCGGAATTCAGGGCCTCCGGAATGCTAAGCAAAGATACCTGAGAATTAGAGCAAGGACAGCCTTATCTGGCTGCAAGACAAGGATTTATGGACTGGCCATAGAAACAAAGAAAGAGGATTGCGAGGCCTGAGTCACGTATAAAGCGGGGCTCGTCACAAGTCAGAGGCTGTGCAATCAGATATCTGGTCGCCAGCCGGGAAGGCAGAAAGAGATAAGAAAAACAGGTAGCACAACCCCCTCCTTGGTATCCAGGTGGGTCTGGACAACCCCCTCCTTGGTATTTAGGTAAAAGGTCAAGAATGTGCCACTCAGCTTAGCCTTATTTAAATTGACCAATGAAATGAATCCCCGTAACCACCCTGCATCTTGCTTCTGTAAACCTCGCTTTTTGCTCTCCTATAAAAACCCCTCACCCCCAACCTGCTGGCGCGCAAGTCCTCCGAGAGACTTGGTCACCCCAGGTACCTGGTATACAATAAACCTCTTGCTGCTTGCATCCGGCTGCGTGTTTTCGACTGGTCTTTGGGCACGGGGTCTCTCCCGAGGGAAGACGCCCACGGGAGTCTTTCACTATAAAACATTTCTTAACCTCAGTACAACTTATCAATTAACATTTTCTAATATTATCTATTATCCATAAAACACTTCGTAACCTTAATACAACTTATCAATTAACAATTCCTTATCAATTATCCATAAAATATCTTTTAACATTTCACCCACTAAACACATGCATAGCATTTCACACATCAAACATACGTATTAACACATCTATGTTCTCTTAACATTCACATACGCATTAAATAGCATCATACTATTGTTCTTTAAAAAGAATATGATGATGGGATGCCCTGGGCGGCCTGCGAGCCAGGCAGAGGCTGCCGCCAGAGCAATGCAGGGTCCACGGGCGAGCAGCAGAGTCAGGCGGCTGGATGCGGTGGACAGCAGAGTAAATGGACATAAGGCTATACATAAAGCTATTTAGAGGAGAGGGAGATATTTATTACTTAAAAAGAGGAAATCAGAGAGATGTAAAGAGAAACATAGGGAGAGACACGTGTGTACACACCAAGAGAAGGGGGGACAGAGAGAGAGAGTGTTAAGATGGCAGCGAGGAGGTCAGAAGTGGCTGGGGTGGACGTGGTTAGTCCTTAAAGTCACCGCAAAGGAATAACACATACAACCTGATATTCTTTTGCAGTCCTGAAAAGGACTTTTGGATTTCTTCAGGCTGGATGCCTGATTGCACTCCCTGTAGTCTGCATTTGGGAGATAAGACATTTGATGTCCTCTCAGGCTGGTACCAGGTGCTGGATCAACTCTTGACTGCTTAGTCTGTGTTCTGGTGCTAGGAATGCAGGGCCTTTGAACTCTGCTTTCAGGTGATTGAGTCTCAGGAGACAAGGCTTTAGCTCTCAGGTAGCGAGACTCTACCCTTGGGGTGACAGAGTCTTGGGAGACGAGGCTTTTGGAGGGTCTGCTAAGAGGCTACAGCAGTGTACCAGAGCCATCTTGATATGTTAGTAAACAACTTGTTTACTTGACTTCCGATAGCCAGATGTCCTAGGCTATCGATATCAACTGGGCACAGAGGGGTGAGGTCCCTCTTGTGTCCATGTTTCTGGTAAACATGTTTACCCCAAGTCTGTATCGACTGGATACAGAAGGGTGAGCCCCTCTTATGTCTTACTGGAAAACATGTTTACCTCAAAATGACAAGGGTGTTTTTTCTACATGTCTTTCTTAACATTTTCTCTTAGTAATTTTCCACATCACACACAAGAAGAAATGCTTTTACACTACACCAAGTTGCCCCTCATTCTTATTCTATAAATTTCTTGCTCTATCTACACTACAGATTTCCCTTTTTATTCATTCATTCAGAGGGATCTGTTTCCATGCTCATTATAATGGTGGGGGTTTTTTGCATTTATCACATTGATTTTGAGGGGGAGCATTGCACATGCCAGTGTGTGTGTGTGTGTGTGTGTGTGTGTGTGTGTGTGTGTACATGCTCTTGGGCGCCAGAAAACAACTTGTAGGAGTCCATCTTCTCTCTCCATCATCTGAGTCCTGGGAATTGTGGAGGCCAGCCATGATAAGCTAAGTCTGGGCAGGTCACCCAAAAAAAGGCTCTTTACTTCCAGCCATTATTACCTGGGACTCTGACCATCAATGAATTTAAATGGAGTCTGGAGTCTCAAGAGTTTACCCTGAGACAATGCCTGGCTGCAGGAGGAACCGCAGGCTGAGATTGCCTGACCCCCCTCCATTTAAAGGAAATGCCTGGCATTCCAAGGTGTAGATAGAGACACCTGCCAGCATGCCTCAACAGGACACCCCTAGACAAATGTCAGCCAATCAGGGATCCTAAACTTCAGAGACCATCTCTACTACTATAAAAACCCTTTCTAATTGAGCTTGGGGATCTCCGAATATTCCAGTATGTTGAGCATGCGGAGAAACCGAGTTTGCAAACTTGATTAAAATAAAGGCTCTTTGCTTTTACATACAAGACTCTTGATTTTCTTTGATTGGCTTTTGTGGGGACCTCATGGATATGAGCATAACAGGAATCAAACTCAGTGGTCAGGTTTGGTGGCCAGCACCGTGTGTTACCCATAGTCACATTGAAGGGCCCACAGGTCTACCCCTCCTCTCAGGGTTCATCTTGAGGACAGTTTCTGGCCAGACATCTTGTTGCAATTTCTGGCTAAACATCCTGTTTGTTCCTGTGCTCCCTCTGCTCCCCTGGTGGTTAGCTACAGGGACATTGTTTATTCCATTTTGGGTTTGGTAATTTCCCACCTGCCTGAGGGGAATTCCCTTGTGCAGCAGCTAGGTATATAAGGTTGTTCCTAAACTTGAAAAAAACGGCACTAACTGTACCATAGAGAGTAACGCAGGCGTTACACACATCACCAACTCTGCCTTACTTTTTCAAGCTTATTGAAATGTTTTTACGGCCCAACAAACCTCTCCACCAACTGCAATAATCCAAATCAGATAAAATCAAACCAAATTAGAAAAAGCCCAGGTTTAATGGATGCCAGCACTCCCAGGTAGCCTTCCAGACCCCCCAGGGATGGAGGCAGGAAGGAAGACCGGAAACCACAGAGTGGGGAAGGAGAACCATAAATAGCCTGTGGTCATGGTCTTGACCCTCTCTGGGGAGGGGTCACTGTTTGGCAGGCTTTTTCAGAGTCTGGACTGCAGCAACTCCCAGCAGGAGGAGGCTTAGGGTGGAATTTTCCACTCAAACATTCCAGACCCCTTGGGTATAAGAACGTCAGTGGCTGGGGTGAAGCTTCCATCCAAAAACTTATGTCTACTAGAATGTTTAAAAACCCCTATGTGGCTCGCATTTAATTTCTGTTGGCACTGCTATAGAATTCAGACATTTGCAGCTTTCCTTAAGAGATAATGCTGGCATATTTTGTACTAATGGTCAGCTCCACAGTCTTTTAGGTCAATTAATTTATTTGCATGAATCGGTAGCCTTAGCTATTACTACACAATCTTCAGTTAATTTTCTATTGATTTGGGTCAGGTTTGGTTTGAATTTTTTAAACTTAAAAAAGGAAAGCTTCAGTCCTTTATAGGAAAGTGATGTAGCTATAGAAAAACTTACCCAATGTTTCCATCTCTAAAGAAAAGTGATACCCCCATAATGCCAGCAGTCATCAATTGGCAATGGCTCCTCAGCTAGGGGTGGGGAGCCTCATGAGGCCTTCTCCCATCTGTTGATTAGCTTGATCTTGTGTCAGCCTTCTGCAGGTAACCATAGTTGCTATGAATGTATAAGTTCAAAGGTCATCATATCTTACAGACAGAACTTCAGTGGCACTTGTCTCCATCCTCTGATTCTTATTTCTTTTCTCCCTTCCATCATGTTCCCTGAATTCTCTCTCTCTCTCTCTTTCTGACACACACACAAACACACACATACACATGTACTTACAGGGGCACACTTGACAGTCTAGTTCCTTTACCTGAATGTCCTATGTATACACATCCCTTTCCAACCAATTCACCTATCTTTTGAAAACATGTGCAAGCCTTATTTTCAAATCTTTGAGGCCAAAACTCAAGAATATGGAAACATCTGATCCAGACCCTGATGACTCATAGAAAGAACATAAAATGTCTGGTTTCTAGGTATTGTGAAATGGTGAGCGCAATATTGTTAGTCATTGTCACTTTACTGTATGAAAACCCTCCAGATATATTCTTGCTGTTTATGTATCATTGTCCTCCTTACCTAAACTCTGCCAGGTCACCTTATCCTTATTCCCCAGGGAAAGGTGAGTGAACTATCTGCCTGTTCCACAGCCTCACAAAGCAGGACAATCAGATGTGATACTGAGTCAAGTCAAAGCAGCAACTCAGTTTATTACTGTGAGTGTCAGCGTATATAGGTTAAGTGACATCGTGTGATGTGGGGATACCCTCAGCTAATGGGAGACAGCCAAGCTCTCCCCCTGGCTGGAAGGACGTCTACCTAGATTTTACTGTCTCATTCTCACTCAGTAGCTTTGAGACTATCCTTCAAACTCGAGCCAGCCTTTTCTCTGTCGTACAGGTCTCAAGGTACAGGCCCTAAGATAATTTTGGCGCAACAATCTCCATCTTCCATGCCCTCTATTTTCCGGAGTCTCAGCTAACCACTTTTCAGCTAGCACCAGCCTCATGAATGTGGGTATTATAGGTTGCCTCACCACCCCCAAACCAAAAATAGCTTCTTTAGAATAGACATGATAAATATATGTGAAACTTTCACCATAAGCATAGATTGAATGTAGTAGTCAGAGGTTTTCTAGTCCTTAGGCTGCAAGAAAGAGGTGTCAGGAAAAAAAATACCAACAAGATTTCACTTGATTTAATTTGATGACAGTAATATTTTGTTGATATTTTTATTCAAAATATTTAAAATCCCAGAAATCTTCGCAATACGACACGATATTCTTACCCTAATATTCTAGACTGAAGATACGTTGGCA